GTTATTCAAAATAAAACAAATGTGCAGGGTAAATTTCACTTTGTCGTTCCTTGAAAACGATGTCATCTGTAATATGTGCAAGAAGAAAACTGCTCAAATCAAGTCGGGATATATTAAAGAACTTGGTTATGTAGAATGATTTCCTGATAATGTAAGAATGAAAAATAAGCAGGTCCATCAGAATTGCATATAGAGAATTGCATACTTCTTCTGATATCATATGTAATATTCGAGGACTTACTCAAATTATGTTTAACATCTAAGACTGTTATCACGATATTTTTGCACTAGAAAGTATGAAAACCACTATGCACTGAGCATTCAATGTTTGTCCCTATTACATATAATGCCTCTGTAGGAAGTAAATACGCCCCATGACCCAGAAACACCAAAATGCCAAAGATAAAGTAAGAGCTAAAAGATTTAAATAGTCCCTTATCCTACAGTGCAGATGTTGTAAACTAACAGTTTGGATTACAAATCAATATAAATATCAGTTACTATGAGAAACTCATACAAAAACTATAAAGATCAATTAATGGTATAAAAACAAGAGGTTCCATACACAATTAATAGTTTTTTAAAAACTATTTATAAGAACAATCTACTTAGAGATTCTAGATGTTAACAAGCACTCAAAAGTCTACTCATAAAAAGAATCTCATGCAAATTAGATGCACCTAAACCACTTACCAAATTCCTTCATAATGTAGTTGTGCAATCAGGGTCCATAATGCAACTTGTAAGATTTCATGCTAAAATATATTCTTCCAGTTAACGATGCCACCTTATACCAAGTATAATAATGTGACAAATATCCAATGACAATTAAGATAATTATCCATCAAAACACATGTAAATCGCTGCAGTTGAGAGTTTTGGACCTTACTTAATATGTGCATTAATAATTATAATGCACAATTGTGGGAAACAAAATTTCAAACATATATTTAATACATCTATAGCTTTAGTTAATATTAATACTACTTTTTAAACAGAAATAATACTTTATGATCAACACCTTACTGCAGAACAATCTCATACAACACTCAGTGATTGAATATTTGAATGCACACACCTTATCCTAAAACACGGAATGAGATTTCTTATTCCACAATCATGTTTTATTCAAATTGGATGAATGACAAGTGCCAACGATGCCGTCACAAATATACATGTGTCAATCATCCAACGGAATGAAACAAGAGTTGGAACATAATTTTGCAAAATTTGATCTTTTCCCCTAAAACAGAGTATGTAGCGTCTGAATCATCATCAATGTTACAGACTTACAGTCAAACCACCTTCTTTTCCAATTAAATACACCAGTTTTATTCAAACTTCAACTTCACGAGGAACCGAAATCACATTAAAATCAATTAAAAATAAATAAAAAAACATGAAAGCTGGAAGCCCATGGCTAGAACAAATAGCCCTCCACAATTAGATTATTAACAAACATAATTTTCTCAATCAACAAATACAAAGCAGCAAAAACACACTAAGATTCAGAGACATATACCTCTCCAGTGGAAGCAAAGCAGTTACGGAGATAATCTTCGTCCATCCAGCCATAAAGATCGCCCACCCATATCGTGGTGTTCTCCTCATTAGAGCCCCCTCCGATGCTCCGCCCGCCATGCGGCGGCGGCGCCACTGGCGGTGGGTGGTGGTGGTGGTAGGGCACGTACTGCGGGGACATGTAATGCAGCGCTGGCGGCATCATCCCGTGCTGCATCACCATTGCCGCTGGCTGGTATTGCATCGGCACCCACGGCTGGGCTGAAACCGGCGCGACGACGTGACGCGGCGGCGGCGGCGGCGGCGGCGGCCAATCATTGTTGTTTCCGCCGCCATTGTTGCCGTTGCCGCCGTTCTCCGTGGAGGAAGTACTCTGCTGGGGCTCTGAATTGCCGCTATTTGTCTGCATATTAATTGGAGGAATTGATTTGATGATTATTTTGAAAGGATGAGATTAGGAGATAGGGAGAGGCAGTTGTGTTGTATGTATGCGAGCGAATCTGAGAGAGAAGGGAAAAGTATGCAATGTAATGCAACTGTGTTATGTTGTGTGGAGGCTCAACAATAGGATTTTCAGGTTTTCATGGGAATCCCTCAGAATCAGATGACGCGCAAGTCCTCACGCCCGTTGGATTTGGGGACTTGCGGTATTGACCGTCAGATGATGATTATTATTATTATTATTATTATTATTGTGCTTCGGTTTTCCTATGGTGTAGGATTTATTTACTTAGGTTTTTTTATGGTTGTATTAATATCTATTAGTCGTGTGACGTACGAGCTATATTTGGTTTGTTAAATTTATAAATTGAAGGCTATTAATCAATAATACGTAGATCATTTGTCAAATAATCATAAAATGTTCATCAATAAAAAGTCATACATTATTAAAAACTTCTTTATTTTTTCATGCAAAATCATTTTTCACTTCGCAGTCGTAGACCGACATTTAACAAGATTGCTGTCAACTTGGTATTTGCGAATTGCATAGACACATCCTTTCTCTAATTCTTTGCTGATTTATGAAATATTGACACCATGAAATAAAACTATAGTGAAAATATGAAATATTGTGATAAACACTTAAGATATGCTTTATTTGGTGAAATCTAGTTTTATATGAAATATAAGAAAAGTTGTTACCTTGAAGTGTGCATTTTGAGTATATCTTTTTTTTTTTTTTTCAATCATTCTCATTTTCTATACCAAATCTATTCCAATATTTAGAACATTTTTAATTTTGTTATGTTTTAACATTGATTTGGAATTTCGATTGTATCTTTTGTAAAATAATATTTACAAAAATAATTAGATATTTTATCATTTGTAACTCAAAACTAATTAAATGAGTCGGAAGACATGTAAATCACATTTTTTAAGGAAAAAAATATTTCATAAATAAATTGACTTGTGTATATCTAAATTTAATTTTGCATGGATCTTGTGTATATCTCTTTTGAATCAGACAATCATGTTTTTGCTTAAATTCATAATGTATAACTATTTCACGTGATAAATAAGGATGTGGAAATCTTTCGTATATGTGAAGGATAAGTTTGAGTGCCAATCGTATATCCTGAAAATTTGAATGCTATTTATTAAAAAACAAGTTTGTACGCTTTGCATGGAAAGATCGAACTCGCATTTTTATAGCTTATTTTTATAAAAAAAAAATATTAAAAATAAAATTGAGAATATAACATGTTAAATTTCATTGCAGTTTTAAATTTTATTTGTAAACAAAAATAAAAAATATATGCACAGTCCATAATTAGAATCAGATTTTATTTTTTACCAGTGATTTTAAAAAATCTACTAGAAAGAAAAAAAAAATATACTCAACAAAATCATTACCATAAAAGAATAGATAATGATATCATTAAAATGATTTTATTTTAAATAAATTCAGAATGTACACACAGAATCCGAGAATATTTTTGTACAACAAAAATCGAGAATATGGCATGACAAAGAGCAACCGAGATTATGGCAATACATTTAATGCTTCTTTTTATTTTTATTTGAAAAAACATAGAATGAATATAAAACTTACTTTTTTTTATATGTAGTAATGATTTTGGCGGGAAACCCTTTTTAAAAGTGATTCAACCTTATTTTTATTTTATATAAATAGATAGATGTGTATATAGTAAAATATCACGTGTAGACAACATAAGATCGAAGTAGATATGGTAGTTAATAAGAAAATAACGAAAGTTTTAATAACGAAAGTAAATAAATAACAAGTTAATAAATATATAAACTTCTCATTTAATTTTTTTTTCTTGACTAACACGAAAACCATCAAGAAAATTAGTTAGAATTGTTGGACGATAACTATCAAATAAGTATTTTAATAGTTTTTGTACTATGATAAATATATGGAATAAAGCTATATGATACTCGTATAAATTATGAAAATATTACTATGAGGAATAAATGAAATACGTGTTGTACTCTTTTTTTCTTGGCTGAGGTTTTATATTATTGGTTTTCTTAGCAAGATTTTTAATGAGGCAACAAAGATGACGATTGAAATGAATAATGTATTCTTTTTTCTTTCATTAGGATTTTGTCCCACTGAGTTTTTTTGTAATAATATTTTGTCGAGACATATTTATGGTATAATGAAGATTATTGAATAATTGATATGATTCCTCATGATGATAATAAGACATTGAAATAACTGCATTATTTTTTCTTCGATCAAGTTCCATCCCACATGATTTTCTTCAAGGTTTTAATGTGACAACACATGAATACTTCACTAAGGATGAGCTATTCAAGAAGAAGCAAGTTTATGCTTCCACAATGTTCTGGTTTTGTCCCACTGGGTTTTCCTGACAAGCTGAATAAACGGTACCTGATGGCCACAAGCTACATTACAAGATGTTCGAATTGAGTTTTGTTCCAATTAATTGAAATATGTTTAGCAAATAGTTATTCAAGAGAGTGTTATGAATATCCTAAACCACCAACCACCACCAAGGCACCAACTGTATTTATTAGGATTAGTGTGAATGATTATTTTCCCTCTATTGTAATTGTATATTTACGATTATGTCATCAAAATTTTTAGATTCAATTACAATAAAAACCATACCAAGAGAAAATATTTTCTCTATCCTCTATCTCTCTCTAATATTATAAAACTTATGACTTTTGTATTTGAATGATTGAGGTTTTGTAATACGAATCAAATAAAACAAATTATACTTCAAAGAATCATTTTCTAAGTCCAATTCTTAATTTGTCCATAACCCATGCCTCATCCATAGCCCAAAATTGACAAATAACATGATAATTGACTTTTTTCTCTCATTTGAAAAGCATGATAATTGACTTTTTACATCAAGGCTTTTTCCTGAAATCACAAAGCAAGTTGATTTAATTCTTACTTTATGTTTAAATTTCTTACCACTTTCCTTTGAAGGCTGGGTGACTCTAACTCACAAGTATCAACAAAGAGCAATAGTTAACATAGGTCTGTAGTATGTACACGGTGGTTAAAATAATTAACAATCCTACCACAAGTTCACAACTAAATTGTTGTGGCATGAATCCTTGTGTTTGCTGAGGGCAGGTCAGTTTCCTTTGTTTCTATTTGTTTTGGTTGCATATTTACCAATTTATGTTTCTGTTTCTTTTAGGTTTTCTTCTAGCATGACTTATATAACCGGCAAATAACCAAAACCAAACTGATTTTTCATTCACCGACTTTTCGGTAACCGACTACAAATCATTTCAGTTTCGGTTGAATGATTTTATATTGCTGAAATATCTTAGTCGGTTCGATAATACCTAATTTGACCAGGGTTATCGAACCGAACCCAATCCTAAAATCTTACTATTATTATCTCTTATCTTTAAATCTTGATACATTAATTATAAGCATTTATATATAATTTTAAATCCTAAAAATTAGACATATTTTAAAACATGACAAAAATAAATAAATTACATGTAAATTTAATACCTCAAAATCTTAATAATGTTGTATCTCGCCATAAATATTCACTATATAAATATATACACACAACTTTACTTTCTAATTTTCATTTAAGAAAAATAATGTCCTGGTCAAGCTGATTAACTCAGCGTGGTCAAGCCGCATGTGACCCATGTAGAATGGACCTTGGTTGTATTGATGATTGACTACGATATTTTTATAATACTCTTTTGAGCTCATTAATATTACGTTTCTGACTTTTTATTGATTTTTTTGTTTATTATGATTTTGTATACATTATCTTTTGAACAAAGAAAAAATTAATTCAAGACAATTATGTGGACAATCTGAAATTCATATGCAATTATGAAACTCGACGTGTTGAACTATTAATGTAGTAGTATGTGGAAGAAAGTATGCAAATTGAAAGTGTAAGACCGTAATAACTCTTACTATAAGATTTATTAAGTAATGGCTTATGATGATGTATGACATAATGAGATTTGTTTTTGGATATCTAATGTTATATTATTAAAATGAGAGCTTTCAGACTAAGTGGTAGAATTTAAGAATGCGTGGTTCTAAACTAATGAGTTCATAATTAATTATTCAAATGGGCTTAACGCTTTATTTAATAGTCAAACAAATCTAAAATATTTGGTAGATCTAAAGTTACTCTATGTAAATTAGTCATTTTTCCACCAAATAGGATAAATGGTAAGATGCATTAATCAAATCTCTATGGATGTATGCGCTTAAGCGTGTTGTGTATCTGTCTAGGATTCATAGTATATGGATATTCATATAAAATTATGAAACTTAACGTATAGAATAGACTAGGATTTTGATAAAAAAATTCACAACAAAGCAGAAGAAATTCAAGGATTCCTCCTTGAGGCAAATACTTCTATGCATACTTCTTTCGGTTGATCCACACCATATTCTGGTAAGATGATATACTAGTATACATAAAGAAGAATGCAATTTGAAAGTGTACAACCACAACCTCTCTCAATTTTCTGGAAATATTGAATTATACTGAATTGGTCAATTAATAAAAATTTTAAAATATATAAAATATAAAGTTGATTATTGAAATAAATAGATTAAAACTTGAAATATGTATATACTTAATTTTTT